AGATTAGCACGGCCCGTAGGGGCAGACCTAGAGGCCCCGGGAAGTCCTTCCCCGGTGCGGCAACGGCAGGGAGGGGGCGCTCTAGCTCGTCAGAGTGGAACGCCCTCCAGAAGGATGCGGACGCGGCCTTCTTCAAGGAGGCCCTGGGCCGGGGTCAGGCCGGAGAGGCTGAACCCGATGGCATGGCGGGCCTCATGCGAGAGACCCTGGCCCAGGAGGCACGAGACGGCCTCGCAGCAATATTGGCGGAGTCCGCCAAGTCCTCTAACCTCAAGGGGACGGGGAGGGGACGGGACGGGACATCGAAAGACGCCTCCCTGCGGAGTACCTACGCCCCCCCCTGGGCGGCAGAACGGGGTCACCCGCCCCCGAGGCGACGCCTGCCGTCACCGCAGTCGCCCCGAGGTTGCTCCCCTCCGCCGCGGCCCCCGAGTCGACACCGGGCCCCTCACTGGCTCGAAACGCGCCTGCCGGCCAGCGGCCCAGCAAGAAGGCCAAGAGGAAGGCTCCCCCGCGGAAGGTGACTGCTGCCCCTCGTGCGGCGCCCACCGCCGTTCTCGCCGTCCCTACCGCCCCTGACGCGACGGCCTCCACGCCGACTGACCAGGCGGAAACGCCCTGGTCACAGGTAGTCGGCCGCAAGGCCAGAAAGGCCAAAGCGGCAGCTGCCGCCCCCCAAGCGGCACGGGCCCCCGCCAAGGCGGCCCCTAAGACGGCTCCCAGACCCAGGGCTCTCGCCACCCCAAGATCATCGGCGGTGGTGATCACGCTGAGGCCCGAAGCGGTGGCGGAAAAGGGGGCCACTTACAAGGTGGTCCTTGAGGCGGCGACCGCTGCGGTTGATTTGGGCAGCCTCGGCATCCCGCACGTGCGGGTGCGGAATACCCAGACGGGTGCCCGCATAGTCGAGGTGCCCGGGGCGACCAGCGCCGAGAAGGCCGACACCCTGGCGGCCAAGCTGGAGGAGGCGATCGGGGGGCTGGCGACAGTAACGCGGCCTACCAAAACCGCCGATCTAAGGGTCACCGGTTTTGACGAGTCAGTGACCCCGGAGAAGATCCGGGCGGTGGTGGCCGCGAAGGGCCAATGCCCCCAGTCCGCCGTGAGCGTGGGAGCCGTCAGACTGGCCCCCAACGGGAGGGGGTCAGCCCTCGTCCGCTGCCCGGTGACGGCAGCCCAACGGGTGGCGGCTGCCGGCCGCATATTGGTGGGGTGGTCCTCCGCCGGGGTCCATGTGATGGAGCCCCTCCCCATGCGCTGTTTCAGGTGCATGGGGATTGGTCACACCAGAGCCCTCTGCCCGTCCAGTGTAGACAGGAGCGGGCTCTGCTTCAGGTGTGGCCAGGTGGGACACTCGGCCTCCGGGTGCACGGCGACCCCGCGATGCTCGGTCTGCACCGCGGCTCGCCGTCCAGCGGACCACGTGATGGGGGGGCGATCTTGCGCTCCCTCCCCCACCAAGGGCAAGTCGGCGGGGACCCCAGGCCCCCCCCCTATTGAGGGACAAAGTATGGAGCAGTAATGCCAGCACGCCACCATATTATACTGCAGGGCAACCTCAACCACTGCGCCAGGGCACAGGACCTATTGGTCCAGGCCATGGCGGAGTGGGGGGTTGCGGTGGCTGCTGTGGCGGAGCCATACTTTGTCCCCCCGCGGGGGAATTGGGCGGGGGATCGGGAGGAGACGGTGGCCATAGTGGCGTCGACTGCCGGACACTCCCCCCCTCTAGTGGTGAAGGAACGCGGGTCAGGGTTCGTGGCGGCGAGGTGGGGAGAAGTCATCCTAATTGGGGTGTACTTCACTCCAAACCGCACCCAAGCCCAATTCCAGGCGTTCCTGGAGACCCTAGAGAGGGCGGTGAGGAGGGCAGCTCCGACGCCGGTGTTGGTGTTGGGGGACTTCAACGCCAAGAGCGCGGCGTGGGGTTCTCCGGTCACCAATACCAGGGGGCCAGAGTTGGAAAATTGGGCGGCAGTCCTAGGGCTAGCCATCCTCAACCGGGGCCAAGCCAACACGTGCGTTCGGCGAAATGGGGGGTCAATCGTGGACGTCACGTTTGCGACCCCCTCATTAGCCGCGCGAGTATCAGGCTGGCAGGTCCTGGAGGACGAGGAGACCCTCTCCGATCATAAATATATACGGATGAGGGTCTCCCATACGCCGCCCACGACGGCCTCCAACACGGCCCCCGGGGGGGCTTTCCCAAATGGGCACTCACCCGCCTGGACCTTGAGCTCGCAGAGGAAGCAGCCATGGTCCAGGCGTGGTGCCCCCCCCCCACCGGCCACCGTCGACGTGGAGCAGAGGGCGGTCAAGTTCAGGGAAGACTTGACCGCCGTCTGCGAGCGGGCCATGCCCAGGGTCAGAGGGACCCCGGGCAAAAAGAGTGTGTACTGGTGGACCGCGGAGATTGGGGACCTCCGCACCGCCAGTACCACGGCCCGGCGGGCCTACGGCCGATGCCGCCGCAGGCGCCACACCCAAAGTGAGGAGAGAAGGCTCCACAGCGCCCTTCAGGCCGCGAGGCAGGCCCTGAAGGTCGCAATAGGGCGGGCCAAGGACTCCGCGAAAGAGGAGTTCTTGGCCACCCTGGACGCGGACCCATGGGGGAGGCCGTACAAAGTTGTGCGCAACAAAATGTACGGCGCATCTCCCATGGAGTCACTGGAGCTGAATCTCCTCAACCGGGTGGTGGAGGGCCTTTTCCCCGAACCGCAGCCCTTCACCCCACCGGCCATGGTGCCCCTCAGAGCAGACGGGGGGCAGACTGAGGAACCCCCCCCGGAAATCACCGAGGGGGAGTTGGAGTCGGCGGTGGGACGGCTGCGGGGGCGGAAGAAGGCTCCCGGCCCGGACGGGGTACCGGGACGAGTCCTTCGCGTTGCCCTGAAGCATCTCGGGACCCGCCTCAAGCATCTCATGGATGACTGTTTGAGGACGGGGTTGTTCCCGAGATGCTGGAAGGAGGGAAGGCTCGTCCTGGTGCCCAAGCCGGGCCGACCTGCGGACTCCCCCTCGGGGTTCAGGCCCCTCGTCCTGCTGGACGAGGTGGCGAAGATCCTGGAGCGAAACATCGCCTCCAGGATCAACGAACACTTGAGGGGGACAGGCCCCGATGTGTCGCAGCGGCAGTACGGGTTCAGGGCTGGACTCTCCACCCTGGACGCCCTGGAGTCGCTGCGACACATCGTGGAGGAGAGTAACGGCGAGAGGGAAGGCGTGGTGGCTGTGTCGTTGGACATAGCCAACGCCTTCGGCACTCTCCCCTTCGCCGTTATCAGGGAGGCGCTGAGGTACCATAATATCCCCAGGTACCTCAGCCGTCTGGTGGAGCACTACCTGGAGGACAGGGTGGTGCTCTACCAGACGAGGGAAGGGAGGCGCGCCGAGCGCCCAATGAGGTGCGGAGTACCCCAGGGGTCCGTATTAGGACCACTACTGTGGAACCTGGGGTACGATTGGGTGCTGAGGGGCGTGCTGCTCCCCCGGACGGCGGTCATCGCGTACGCCGATGACACGCTGGTGGCCGTCCGGGGGACCACCTTCCAGGAGGCGGCCCGAAGAGCCTCAGTAGCGGCGGACATGGTGGTCCGCCGAATACAACTGCTGGGGCTCGAGGTCGCCGTGCCGAAGACGGATGTGGCCGTCTTCGGCGGGAGGGGTAGAGGTTGGGCGGTGCCGGCAGGCGCCCACATCTCCATCGCGGGAGTATCGGTCCCGGTCAAGTCCCAGATGAAATATCTGGGACTTGTCCTAGACCGGCGATGGAACTTCGGGAAGCATTTTCGGCAATTTGCTCCCCGAATAGTGGGCGCCGCATCGGCGTTGGGCAGGCTCCTGCCCAACCTCGGGAGGCCGGGAGCCCCATGCAGAAGGCTATACGCCGGGGTGACCCGGAGTATGGCCTTATACGGGGCTCCCATTTGGAGTGGGGCCTTATCAGCGGCGACGAAGTCGCTGCTGAGGAGGCCCCAGAGGGTGGTCGCCCTGCGAATGTGCAGGGCGTACATGACGGTGGCCTGCGCTGCCGCATGCGTCCTCGCCGGTACTCCGCCGTGGGACCTCGAAGCCGAGGTCCTGGCGGAGGTCCGCACCTACCGGCGGGGAATGAGGGACCGAGGCGAGCGACCCGCTCCCCAAGAGGTGGAGCGGGAGCGCCGCCTCGCGGCGCAGCGCATGCGGGACCGGTGGAAAGAGGGCTTGGCGGATCCCCCCTATGGTGCTCGTACCATAGAGGCGATTCGCCCTGTCCTCGTAGAGTGGGTAAACCGGTCCCACGGGCCACTGTCGTACCACCTTGTGCAGGTGCTGACCGGGCACGGTTGCTTCGGTCACTACCTGCACAAGGTGGCGAGGAGGGAACCGTCCCCGTCGTGCCACGAGTGCGGCGCTGCGGATGACACCGCGCAGCACACCCTAGAGGTGTGTAGCCGGTGGGATGAGCAGCGCCGCACTCTGACGGGGACTATAGGGCAGGACCTCTCGCTGCCGAGCGTGGTTGCCGCCATGCTCGATAGCGAGGAGTCCTGGGAGGCGATGGCCTCCTTTTGCACAGAGGTTATGTCGCAAAAGGAGGCCGCGGAGCGGGTGCGCGAGGACGCGGCGGACGCGCACCCGCTCCGGCGCAGACGTACGGGGAGAAGGCGAAGGCAGTTCGCTGCTCGCCTGATCCCCTAGTGAGACCAGCGGGCTCTGGACAGGGACTCCGGAGCCTACATTGCACGGCCTCACTCGTCTGGGGGGCGGGTCGGAGGACAACCGACTCGTCCCTTCGTTGGCGCGGGAGCCCTGGCGCAAGCTAGGGCGGCCGGGCGGCGTCGTGGTGAATGTTCACTGATCCCACGGCGCCGACTCAACCGGCGAGAGGGAAACCCGGGGGGGTTTTAGTGGGGTAGGCCTTCCAGTGTGGAGGGAGAGTCCCCACATAACCCCTGGGTCTCCCTGGGCTCAGGGGTATCCATAAAGATTTCCCCCCCGAAAAAAAAAAAAAAAGTTAAAGTTAAGTTAAGTTAAGTGTATATTACCAAGTCGTCACTTTAGACGAACAATTGCACGTAAGTGGACTAGCTGTAAGGCGGCACGCCTATCCGTAACAGTTGCAGTGCCACTCAGAGCTTTAAATAGTATAGATCTTAGGGGCACTACCAATGCGCCCGTCACCCTGACACATAAGTTGATAAGTCCCATGTGTTTGTAAAGGGTCTAGTAAGAGGATTAATTGATTTTAAGTAATATAGTATTTAGGTTTTCGCGATTGTTACACGTAGGAAATGAAACTATTTTTTCCGGATTTAAATCGCGTATATTTGTTTTTGACCATGGGACCTGAAAAGGGCCCGAAATGTAGGTTTGTTTCAAAAACAAATATACACAATTTAAATCCGGAAAAATAGTTTCATTTCCTAATGTAGTATTAATACAAAGATCGATTACTCAGAAAAAAATCTTTCGATCCGTCCGGATTCGAACCGACGTCTTCTAGCATACCGTGGCAGACTACCAACCAACCAACTAAGCCACGGAACGAACCAGCGGACCTCACGGTTTTTTAACGACTCTTTAGCTGTATCTATAAGAAATCTATTATTTTTTTCTAAGAGTTCGATCTTTGTATTAATAATTATAACAAACTAGTGGAGTAATTTCACACAAAAATAATTGAATATCTATTCAATAAAAATTTAATATAGTATTCTTATCTTCGTCTTGGTTCTCCGCATTGGAGAAGTTACAAACACAAAACATGCGTAAGAAATATTGTTGAGAACCTGTGATCCATCAGCAAGTCTTGCTCTGATGATCCACCGCCCCGAAGGCGCGTGGACATCTAGCTTGTGTTGTAGCTGCCCCACGCCCATTCGGGTGCGCATGCGCTGCCATGTAGCCGCGCGTGTGCCAAGTGGGCTTTCCAGCCAGATTTCATCAATCTGTAAAGAATAGTTATTTGTTATGCAAGGTTGCTAAGTTGTTGTTTGATGCCCGTGCTTGTATGAAGCAAGCCAATCCTGACCGCAAGGGTTTCAAGATACGAGACGCAAAACACACAATTTTTCACCTCACTATAGCGAGGAAAATGGTAGATGAAAAAAAAACAGTTGGACTATAACAAATCAGTTTTAATAAACAAAATTAGTTATCGTTGTCAATTTATTGTCACCAATAATAAGAATAAAATATACCCACGGATTTATATTACGCGTAGTTGAACGTGTATGTTTATGTTTTTTTTTCATCGGTGCACCTACCACAGACTCAAGTTCGAATTTCTAAATACCATTTCTAATGATAAAGAAAGACTTTCCGAGTCAGTGAGGTGAAAAAGTTTTTTTAGATGTTCTGCGTATATTTAGTTATCCCCGGCCGCTTATGCACTTGTGTGGTGAAAATTGTTTTATTCTAATGAAGTGCGTTGAATAAAATACGCATTGATAACAAATCTCTGAGATGAATCTCTGTCACTCTGAGACATAAGTTGAAAACAACCATGTGTCTGTAATTTCACCTACACCTTTCAAAACTGAAAAGCAATATCGCTCATAGTAATTGCTTGACGGCAGAAATAGGTAATGTGGGAGTACTTCCCAGGATGAAATATTTCACAAGGAGGTCTGCTGCTGCTAAAACTAGAACTCGTGTCGAATGAATGTAGTTATTATTATGTCCACCAGATGGCAATCCACCAGATCATTCACCATGTCCATGTCAAAATGTTCCTGTGTCCGTCACATTTATACGGTATTTACCATATCTCCAGTATATACCAGTATTTACAATATATACCACGTGATCACAAGTGCCGTTGTGCTCTATGGAATCTATGGACAAGCCATGAATGGTCATTAATAATAAACGAGTAAATTAGTAAGTCACTAATTTATTATTCGAATGATAGGATTAAAGTCTGTCTTTTTTGAAGACGGAGTAAAATAACATTTTTAGGGTTGCCAGTTTTCATAAAATTTTAAATAGTTATGGTGTTGTTATCGATAGTTTTATCGATAAATTGTGAAAGAAGATGAAATTTTTCCAAAAATTACTGAATTGTGAATGTTACGACGTTCTAATGATTACTAATTCTTTATTTTTATATTGACAGTTGACCTACTACCATCGAGATTAATTTTTATTTATTCATAATTTTTATTATTTTTTAACAAGAATAGCCGGATTCGATTATCTATATTGAATTAAAATGAAAAACTTTAAAGAATGCCTCCTCTTTGTATTTTTCATAAACATAGTTCTAAATACAGTGTATGTATGAACTTACAAAAATTGACAATTCAAAAGGACTTGTGCCCAGTAATTGGACGAATAATGGGTTGAGGATGGTCCAAATGATACAAGTTCAGCAATTTACTCCATAAGTGTGACCAATATTTACTCGTTAGTCGATAGAATATTTATCAACTGCAATCACTAGCTGCTCACAAGCGGGCAACTCTTTTGCGCAATGGACTGTCACTTTACTCCGTCTTCAAAAAAGACAGACTATAGTATATAATTACTAACGAGTCGAATATCGATATCATTCGCAATCGCGCATCATTATTCTGGGCGTCAAACCCACGAGCTGTGTATTTTTATACTAGTGAGATAGCAATATATCTGTCTCGCTCTTGCAAATAATATAGGCCCTCTGATTGGTTGATTGTGTTTTTTATACTCAGAGAGTATACTATTCAGCGCTTTCAGATTTGTATAAGTATAGCCAGATTTGCCAATAAACGTATTCTAGTTCTCATAATTGGCTTTTCACTGAAGATATATATACCTGTAGCTACCCAGCACCTAATTTGGCAACCTGAAACTCCTAAATTGGTGACCCAATAAATTGATCCCGACGAACTGTTAACGTTTAGGTAACTTTACACTGTTTTGTATCGTGGGTTCTTTTGATTATAATTCAAGTTATATAGTTCGTTGTAAATATTGAATATCGCTAGCTAATGGACCGTAAACTTATTTTAAAGAGTAATATTTTTTCAAGCCGAACCAGACATTTAATCACCAACAGAACGCAGTCTAAAGTATAAGACGCTTATTTAAATAGATACTTACATATATCATTTACCTTCAGAGACGGGCAAGCGCCCGCGTTTTAACCCGGCGCATTATTAATTCGGTTTAAATCGGGTTAAAACTCATGAATGCCCGAAATCGAGGGCAAGAACTATTTACAACAAAATATTCGTAAATCGAGTTTTATTTAAATGATATTGACAATGATATTATTACAAAATGTTTATTGCTTGCTCACACATTACCTTCCTATTGAATCAATTCGCTTGAAAATCGCATTGAAATCAATCGATACAAGAAATCTTTAGGTCGTATACAATTAAATCGATTTTCATAAAAATCTGATCGTAATAATGCATCCCGAGTAGTAAGTGAGAGTCCACATAGGGTCTATTCTCATTTTCCGTCCGAAACCAACTGTTAAATAAGTAATACTCGATCAAGTAAAAACACAATGTCAAGTAAGAAGCTTCATTCGCATCGTGCTTCTTTTAACTTTGGTCGAGTATTATTTATTTGCCATTGCTTCGGATGGCGAAGAACGAGAGTACAGGGCAGTCCACTGTAATGGTACGTAGTGTGTGGAATTGCCTCTTTTTCGTCTAAAAATGATAAATATGCAATTTCACCAACTTCCGTGTATGCCTATCATAGTTTTCGCCCACGATTTTTGGCAGGAATGGGTTAAAACCCGGTGCTTTAGGTAAAAACGTTAAACACCGTCGGGTTGATTGGCTTCCAAACGCACTGCCCATCACTGTACTTAAGGACAATATACTCAAGGGCAATCCCTTCTATTCACTTAGTAATCATTCACAATATATCTAAACAAGTACACAAACAATAAATCACAATAATTGGCAGGATGAACGAAGCGCAATTTACGAACATCGTGCGTGGAGGATACTCCTTGTTAACATTGACATCGTTTAAGATTTCTTGAGAAGATATATAAAGACTTATTTAGATAAAAGACATAGATAGGGGAAAATACACAAATAGATATAGGGAAGGCAGAGGATATTAAATGAACGTATCAATATTTTATGCTATTTTCATTGACTTACAATTATATGGACGTCGGGTCCGCGCTAAAAAGGGTCCGAACTTATAGGGCGTTAAAATCGTATACAGAGCGTCATTCACGCTTTAGTCTTCGTTTGTTCGACTGACAGCGAAGCAAGCAAAATTAGACAGTACTGCGATGACATTACAATTTAAATTCAACGTTTTAGCTTTTCATATTCCTTTACATGTCACTACGTTTAAATAGGTTGACTTGGGACATTTTTTTCGTGGTTTGTGTATTAGAGCCGTCGTCCATTTATTTGTAAGTCAATGGCTATTTTACAATATTTTATGAAATAAGGTACAAAGAATGGCTTCAAAGTATCGCAACGCATTTCTCTCTACGGTATTGAAGAGTATTATTATATTATTTAGTAGCAGTGGAGCTCCTTGTGGAAGGGTTTGTCCAGTGAGGAACTGCCACGTTACCTATTTCTGCCTCCAAACAGTAATGTGATCATTGCTGCGTTCCGGTTTTAAAGGGTAATGCTTGTCAATTTACATGTCAGGTTGATAGGCGTAGTGGTAGTGCCCTTCAAATCTAAATATAAAGATCTTCGTTGCACTATATAAATAAATAATTTAGCGCCGATACGCGATGAGCCGTGGTAACGGCAAGCGGAGCGGGCGATCCGCAACAACCCAAATTACCAAAATTTGGAAAAATATGATTCGAAGGCTCATATTATGTTCTACGTTTATAAATATTTCAAGATTTATTTAGCGTGAATTATAAAATGAAATTGTATAGATAGAAGCAAGCGAAAAACGAGATTTAGGCATAACGGTTGGACAACAGCGAAAAAAGAGAATTATAAAAAAAAAGTCTTTACAATAATAGCTCGTCCAGTATCTGCAACTTTTCACAGGAGTCGACTGTCAAACGTGGAAAAATATTTGGAAAATATCAATTTTTTAGAAAAATATGGATTATTCGATATGGAAATTTTTCCATGACCCAACACTAGTTAAGATAAAATCATATTAAATGTTGAATGACGAAACGTAATTAAATAGGCGCCAAAAACGCATTTTTTTGTCGCTAAATAGAAATCAAATGTGTCTTTTTCTTTCGTCACACTTCATCTTTACAGAGACACAGGGTGTTCTTAACGGTGGTATTTAAAGTAGACCCCCTTGTCCCATCGGGAATAGAACCCGACACCTTATCATGTTGTGCCCACAGTGCAAACGGCTGGGCCCAAACGGGCAAACCCGTGCGCAGCTGTGGGACGTATAATAAGGTTAATGCTGTACGACAAGGTCGACCTTTCCCCGTGTTTTCCAGATCAGTTCACATACGGTACAATCACAATAAAAAAACATAGCGTCCATTCCGCTTGACCCAGAATAAAATAACGGAAAGTTATTCTTTCATTAAAAGTAATTACAATGTACCATAACAACAATAAAATATCGGAAATGAGTTCAATTAGGTTCACCGAGATGTGGTACCGTTATAAAAGTAATCTTTGAGCATTGACCGTGTCGTCAATGCGGTTTGGTTCATTTTTAAATGATTTAAATTAGACTGGAATTACTTATATGTAACGTACGTTAAATAGGTAATGTAAGTAATGTACTATTTATTTACTTATTTATCAGTCATTTACATAATACACTAAGAGCGTTTGCACTTCGTCTGATAGTTCCGAATTCGAGAAATGATGGTCCGAAATGTCACAGGGGTCATTTTTTTTCCGGGCGGCGTCGTGGTGAATGTTCACCGATCCCACGGCGCCGACTCAACCGGCGAGAGGAAAACCCCGGGGGGGGGGGGGGGGAGGGGGTATGGGCCTGCCAGGGGGGAGGCCCCGGCCCCCCCCAACGTCTCCCTGGGCCTGGGGGTAACCATAAAGATTTCCCCCCCGTCAAAAAAAAAAAAAAAAAGGGTTATTTTATTTACGCTTTTTAAAGCTTTTTGTCAGTCAATGTATTCGAGTAGTCTATGGGTTAGGTATACACAGCGTACATACAATTCAATATGAGTACAATACAATAACATCTTTAGGATGCTGCTGGGATTGTCACGGTTGCAGTGCATCATGTCAGGCATGTTTGCTGAAACGCGAACAGATAACTTTTATGCTACTAGGCGTAAAAAAAGTCGTCTCTGCTAAAGCGAGTGCGTGACAGTGGCAATGGCGTCCTGAGTTGTCCATTGTTTTGACTGTACAATTTTAAAGTTATATGTAAACACATTGACTTACAATTATATGGACGTCGGGTCCGCGCTAAAAAGTGTCCGAACTTATAGGGCGTTAAAATCGTATACAGAGCGTCATTCACGCTTTAGTCTTCGTTTGTTCGACTGACAGCGAAGCAAGCAAAATTAGACAGTACTGCGATGACATTACAATTTAAATTCAACGTTTTAGCTTTTTCATATTCCTTTACATGTCACTACGTTTAAATAGGTTGACTTGGGACATTTTTTTTCGTGGTTTTTGTATTAGACCCGTCGTCCATTTATTTGTAAGTCAATGGGTAAACATTACAATTGGTCAAATTAAGTAATAATTGTGCATTTTCCAAATTTTAATACTTAAATTTTCTATCAATATCTCAAAATTCAATGTGTTCATCATCAATAGTTCTAAGGTTTTCTTTTGTAACTAACACCATTATCTTATGGGCTATGAAATAAATGGTTTATTATTATTATTATTTCTGGGTATTCAAGCGATATTCGTATTCTCTCGGATTCGAATTGGACTTAGGGCGCGTTCCCATCATGTCGTGACGACAGATAGTGGTGCAGTTTAAAGTGTCGTGGCTTGTATATTTAAATGAAGTTGTTCACATACAGCACACCACGATTAACTGTCGTTCACGACTTTTTCGACGTTACGACGACAGACTGTCGTGTTAATGGGAAAAGCTACAACGACTGTCGTCTGAAGATAAATAAAACGACACGAAAGAAAAAATGTCGTGCCTACCACAAGGCGGCTGCAGTGAACCGATAAAGTTTCGTCACCCACGATCCAGGGGGTACAGCTAGACACGACAGTCGTTCAACAATAAAATAAATGTCCACGACACTGTTACGATAGATAGTCGTGATACGGGAACAGGTTAGTTAACTACAACATATCCCGTCTTACTAGCAGAAGAGCTCCTTGTGAAAGAAGTGCTAGTGAAATTACAGTTATATGGGACTTGTCAACTTATGTCTCAACCTTACCCTTCCAAATTGGAACGCAGTAACCCTCGTATTACTGCTTGGCGGCAGAAATAGGTAACAGGTACTTCACTGGACGCACTCTTTCATAAGGAGCTCTACTGCTACTAAGAGACAGGGCGATAATTACGAACTTTAGACCTTATAAACAAAGTCTAAAGTTCGGAAGTAAAGTTTTACCTTATGAGCAAGACCAAGAACGCATTATGTGCTTACTATTGTTTCTAAAGATACGTCGTGTGTAATGTACAGTTCCATAAACGGTATGGACATCTGTTGTTTAACTCAATGACGTGTAACGCTTTAATACGCGCAGATAACATGACGGTTTTAAAGACAAAGCTATCGTACATTTTTAACCGACTCCAAAAAAAAGGAGGAGGTTCTCAATTCGTCTGTATGTTTTTTTTTGTATGTATGTTACGCGATAACTTCGCTATTATAAGTATTTTCTCATGCAGATCTAAGAATATTCGTTACTTTTGACTAATTTATTACAGCTACATGTTATTTTTATAATACCAAGTAATGGGTAGAACAAGTCGTGCGGCTGGTGGTAAGCGACACGCCTATCTATAACATTTGCAGTGCCACTCAGAGCTTTAAATCCTAAAGATCTGAGGAGCACTGCCACTACGCCCGTCACCCTGAGACATAAAATTGACCAGTCAAATGTGCTTCAACTAACTTCAACCAACACCCTTACCCTTCAAAATCGGAACACAGTAATGCTTACATTACAGAGCTTTAAATCGCAAAATACTAATAACTACAAATACATAATTTCGTTAAGAAAGAAGAAATCCATAATATTAATCTTAAAACTAAGCCAACTCATGGTACCACAATTTCGTTTAACTAAGGTACTTTATAGTTTTACAATAAGATTCCGGAGAATATATTAAGATTATCATTTCCTAGGTTTAAAACTTACATTAAAAATATTTTAATTAAAAAGATGTAGGTATGGAAAGACAACATGAGTCTAGATTCCACACAAATATGATTCGAAGTTTATTCTATAATATTTAGGTTTATTTGAAAAGAGCAATCCATAAAATTTCTTGCTCGTTCTTTTCAAGGAAGTCGGCACAGTGAACGAGCAGTAGCTTAAAAAATGACGTTTTCATGCATTGACTTACAAATAAATGGACGACGGGTCTAATACAAAAACCACGAAAAAAATGTCCCAAGTCAACCTATTCGAAATTTAAATTGTTATGTCATCGCAGTATCGCGCTGTCCGTAGAACAAATGAAGACTAAAGCGGAGTGTCGCGCTCTGTATACGATTTTAGCGCCTTACAAGTGCGGACACTTTTTAGCGCGGACCCGACGTCCATATAATTGTAAGTCAATGTTTTCATGTGTAAAAATTTTACCTATGGTATAATTCATTATTTGACTTAGACGTTGACAAAGATATTATGGGCATTATCACTGTACTGATTTTTGTTTTGAACCATGCAGCGTAGTGGTAATAATTTATTAACCGACTTCAACTAAAAATCCAAAACAGACATCTACAACAAACACTACAAAAATTCATAATGTCTACTAGTTCGTTCTGTACTGTATCAGACTGGATTCGAACCAGCGCCTTCCCAGCTGAGCTACGGGACGTACCAGTAGATCTCATGAATTTTTCTATATGCTTGTTACCATTGACTTACAATTGTTTTTAACCGACTTTAAAAAAGGAGGAGGTCCTCAATTCGACTGTATTTCTTTTTGTGTGTGTAGGTATGCTACGCAATTACTCCGGTATTTTATTATATAAATATCGCAATTACTCCGGTATTATTACTCCGGTATCCGGTACCGGAACCGGTTTTGATGATCTTTTTTGTTGGAAAGAGGGTACCTCAGTATTAGTCCCTTTTAAATTTGAAGAAAATTTCTAGCTCTAAGGGAGGCAAACTGGGGGATGAATGCATTTACGCTCCGTTAACCGACTCGAATAACTTTTTTTCAAATAAAACAGTTGTAATTATGTTCTTATGTGCCCTGTGCGAAGGTAAGCACGAAGATGCAATGTTTAACACTTTTCCATAGTCTCTGGTGGGATTTCTCTAAATAATTCTTGAGGTTGGAATTAATAGACTCACCATGCGATAAGCAGGAGTGAGATCAGGCTTTAGCACAATGAGTCTCGCGCGCACAGTGTCCAAAGGCCTGTAGCGCGCGCGCTCAGTCAGCACGGCTATTGCCCTCCCGCCTGACACACGCACGAAGAGGTGTTGCTCCCATGTACAGTGGTGGTTTGGGTACCTGGATATAGAAGATCGTTAAGGTGCTTGAGGATTGAAAATAGTATGGCAAAATTTCAATTCTCTCTTTTTCGATAGAAATGGTCGTATTGACGAGCATCAGTGGGGCAAACATTGATGTAATATTGCTAATAATATTGCTGTAATATGCTGCATACACAGAGTATTGTACTCTGCAACGGAATCACTTTTTCGCGCGAGCTCGAGATGGCTATCAATATCCGTCGCGATATGTAGGGTACAAACGATTTAAGATTTACATATTTAATAATAATAATTTACAGAACATGTTACTCAGCCGCGTATTTATCGCTAGATGAACTGAAAAGCATTGAATCTTCACTATCCACAACCATAGCGCGAGTACTTGTTCTCGTGTCGCTTTGCATCGTCTTGCCTCGTCGGTGGAAAACCACCTTTAATTTATTTAATTTTTTTGTATGGTATCATGTTCTTCCAAACAACACTAAATAACATTCTAGGAGATACGGCATCGTGGTTGCGTAGGATTTTTTATTTTGCTAAACATTTGCTATTTACATGTAGACGAAAAAATTAAAATTTTGCGGGTTTGTGATTTTTTATCGAGTCAAGTTTAGTCATTCGTGCTCCGAGCACCAATGTTCACAAGCGCTATCTTTTGTTTTCAAGAACATTTACTTTTCTTATAGCTCTCTATCTGATTACACTGTTGTATTCATAATGTGCTTAATTTATAATAATCTAGTTTACAAAGCCATCAATGTTATAATTGTAAGGCGAGGGTTTAGGCTAGGGTTCATGCGAATTGAAGACATCACTAACAGCTGCATTATTTTGTAGTATTGTTTTGAAAAGCGGCTAGGTCTTATAAAACAAAATATTTAAAATCAAATAGACAGATTTTAAATAAACATTACTTAACAACGACGACCAGCTTAGGCCTTGTGCTGGTCAACTGCGGTACACGGATGTCCAGGCATCCTCCGTCTCCTGTAACAAGGTCTATTCTTTATCAAGCGTCCTAGTTTTGAAAATTACATCTAAATTTAATTTAGAACATATGTATAAACAGTTTAAAGTTAAATTTAACTCAGAACTGAAATCACGATTATCCAGATTTAATTCGATTTGTTCTAATATTTATTAATTGACGATGAACGTGCTACTTTATAAACGAACATTCCATTTTTAAAATACAAATAAATTTATTAGAATTATACTATTATTTGTAATGTAAATTCAATTTAATTTAATTCTTAATTATTTATTACGTTAATAATGATAATTTTCCGTTTAATGTAATGTAATAAGTAATATTAAATTTATTAATGGGTGTGTACCTAAATAAAGAAACATTGGATTTTTTATTGAATGTTTTGTGTGTTTTTACTTCTATATTATTTTTTTTTTGTGAAATTACTCCATTAGCTTGTTATATCATAGCAAACTAGTGGAGTAATTTCACAATTTAATTTAATATCATGATAGTAAAACATCGTGATATTCAATAAACTTATTATTATATTCGAGACTATGGACGTTGCAATACGTCCGAAACATCGAGGCAATTAAAATATGTTTTATACATGATTAAATCCCGAACTAAAAATCAAATAATGTGTGAAAATCACGGAAGTTTAAATGAAAATATTTTCATTATTTATCAATTATGTATAGAATTCACCTGTAGGTAACTCCCTGGTAGCTTGAGAGCTCTGTTTGTCATCATCATACAGAGTAATAGTCACCCGTGCTGGACCGTCAGTATAGAACCGCGAGAGACAGGCTCTACTTGTTCCATTGGGAGATATCACGCCCGGTGCTAGGAAGATGTGGTTACTGTCCGTGCAGGGACTGGAAGCAAAAGATGTAATATATAGACGCGCCGTTCCGATCAACTGAAAACCAGATTATGTAAAACTGTTTCATTTCAAAATATTGTAAGACCTATTAGAAACCTCCACGTAAAATCAAGAATAGCATTACTTCGCACCCCTCATGGAAGAATGGCATAAGTGGAGTAACGTCAAGAATGTTTATTCCTCCATCAGATACAGAAAAATATAACCCACATCCTCTCCAATTCTTGTAACTCTATCGACTAATATTGCAAAGAGAATTACAGGAATTGGAGAGGAAGTGGGTTATATTTTTCTGTATCTATCTAATGGAGCAATAAACATTTTTAACGTAACTCCAGTTATGCAATTCTTCCATGAGGGATGCGAATTGTGCAGTACAATCGTGTGCCGCACGTGTAACATCAATCTGTAATGTAGCATACAACAGAGTATACACACAGCATGTACCAATTTCTTAGGACTCAGCCCACACACTGAAAAAGGAACGGCTGGAAATTAGCGCCTGCCTCGCCCGATCTTTTATCTCTTTGGCGCCAGTGTGCACACTTACTTAAAATTACTCAGTCTCTTGTCTTAGTCTTAAGTATTATATTTATGCGTGTACAGAGAATCAATTTCATTAATAAACGTTTTTTCTTTCTATCTAAATTGAAGAATGGCAGTATCTACTGCAAGAATTAATACAATAACATCATTTTAGCATGCCTATGCCGTTTCGGTCTTACAAAACATGCGAAAGAAAGAAACATTTTTAAAGTATACTTTTAAATAAAAAATCTGTTCTCCTTCTTATACATTGCATTAGCATTTTGATAATTTTCGAGATTTTTGTACCGAAAGTTTCTTTTTATTTGAAAAATGTCACTTACACTGATTTTACACCTAACAATAAAACTGAAACTATAAATAAGATATTTAAAAAACGCTTATAGGGTTGTAGATCCAAATTCGCAGAATCCAGATAATGTTAACAGTTAATAAATAAATCATATAAAATAAATAAATAAAATGTTTCTTTATTAAAGTATACACCCATTAATAAATTTAACATTATTTATTACATTACATATCAATTAAATTGAATTTTATTAATCGAATATTATTATTATTAATGAAGTGCGTTACGTTGCAGCGGTTACACACGGCGACTTAGCAGCGATGCAAATGCGTGACTGCATCGGTACAAACACGCGGTTGCATCGATGCAATCGCCTATAAATCCCAAGTGTAGCGATGCAATCGCGCGTTTCCCAAATTTTTAATGATGTTTCTATTCATATTTCAATTCACATTTGTTTTTGTACATTGTCTTTTGTTTTCTACATTTTCCTGTATGTAATATTTTCAATTTTGTCGGGTTTATGAAGAAAACCCCAGAAGAACAAATTCACGCGCTTCACATTAAAAAAACCGTTCAATTGCAGTTATACGTTTAAATAAAACTTAACGACGAAAGAATGAACGTTAAAAACACTATTGTCATCAAAATCATTGATTTCCGGTGCCGTTGTTGTATTTTGCATAATTTTGGAATCTAGTTCAATATGGCAAGGTTAATTGTTTTTAAAATGTCATCAAAAACATTATTGTGAGGTTGAATTTTCCGTGGATTTTTAAAATTAAACTACACATTACAATCATTTAGAAAAAGCAGGTATTTTTTATGTTGTCAAGTGACGGGACGGACAAGTCGTGCGCCTGGTGTTGAGCGACACTTAGAGCTGAGCTTAGAGACATAAGTTGACAAGTCCCATGTGCCTGTAATTTCACCAGCACCCTTACCCTTCGAAACCGGAACACAGTAATGCTGACATTACATTCTAGTTAGTATTAATACTATCTATTTATATTATAGTCGAGGATACGTATCCGCTATTTTAGTAAAAATCATACGTTAAGATTAAAAAATGGCCGACACGACTTTGCATATGAAGTCAAATACTGTCGTAACTCAAAAATGTTGGCGTTGCGAACACACGATTTGAAAATTAAAAAAATACTGAATCTTATTGCGAGTAATGGGATTGTTTTTATTTATACATAATATTTAGTTATCCTCTTATAAACGACAATATAAATTTATCGGTTCCATTCAGCAAACGTTCAGTAATTTTGTTTTCAAATTGAGTTTTCCCAATTCCACCATTTTCGAATTACTACAGTATTTGGTTCCACGTATGACTTAAGCGAATAGGTTCAAAACATTTATTTCCTTTTCCTTTAACAGTTGATACTTCGTCAGCTCGAATTTATATTTTTTCCAGTACAAATACGTTTCAGTTTAATTACGTCGAGCGGCGGGCACTCTGGCTTTATTTCAAAATTTAATATTTTACTAACGATGTTAAAGCTATTTGAAAAATGTATATACTGGTATACTATACGTGTTATATTTAGTTCAAATATAAATATATCAACATCATTGACTTACAATTATATGGAATGGACGTCCGGTCCGCGCTAAAAAGTGTCCGCACTTGTAAGGCGCTAAAATCGTATACAGAGCGCGACATTCCGCTTTAGTCTTCATTTGTTCTACGGACAGCGCGATACTGCGATGACATTACAATTTAAATTTCGAATAGGTTGACTTGGGACATTTTTTTCGTGGTTTTTGTATTAGACCCGTCGTCCATTTATTTGTAAGTCAATGATCAACATATAAAAAAATACTGGTTTTCTTGTAAAATTTCGAGGTAAGTTTCTGTTTTCACATCATGTAGTAATCAGTGTATATCCTTAATTTTACTATATATTTTTCCAAAGTGGTGGATTCAATACTTTCACTGTTTTGTGGAATTAACCAAAACACCATTTGAGATTGTATAGACTCTTAATTCTGTGACTGAAAGTTTAGATGAAATAACTAAGTAACGCAATCATAGCCTAATTAGGGAAACCACGTATCGCGGGTGCCATGGACACACACATAGATAACCACAAATTACACTAAAACTCACGAGAGAAATATTTGTAGGCCATACAAATATATTCCTCAGACATTGTAGCCGCCAGACCCAAGTAGAAGTTGATGAGGATCTCGACGAGCTCGTAAAATTAAAAGACGATTTAAGTAGACTGTAATATTTTGGCAATAGGTTTCTTAAAGAAGTGCAATACAAAAGTGAACGTCCTTTTTGACCTTTTTGAGTTCATACGAAAAGTTCGTTAAATTGTGGTAGGGGTGTAATATGTATGTGTGTGGATGTGGTGTTAGTTGATTGGTTCAAAAAAGGCGCCTACGTAATGTGCCCTTGAATGTGCTCTTTGTAAAATTAAAAATAAGGTATTTAATTAATAACTATTGTAACTATAGTGAAAAAATAGGGTGGTTTGCATTAATGTTAGACATAACTGGTTGAAGACTGTACCACCTCAGTCAACCGTGACCATGGGACCTGTAAAGGGCCCGAAACGTCGGTTTGTTTGAAAAAACAATGATTATAATATAATAATTAATACCCATATAATTATTGCTTTTACTGCTAGTTTTTTTTTGAATTTTATTAATTTTATGTTCTTTTTGTTTATTTTTAATTGCGGCGCCCTAACCGGGTCATGTTGGTACTATGTATTTACATTTTAAGATCTGTGTAATACATGGAAGCAATAAATACTTTGACTTGAATATTTCTCCCGGCCCGGGAACTGAACCCTCTGCGTGGCAGACCCGGCATGGTAACCGTTCGGCCACAGAGGCTGTCAAAGATGTTTTATGGCGGTTCAAAAGGGCCTATTCGTACGTATACACAATATACATACATGCAATGCTTTATATTTTATTTATATTTTATTACACCACACACACACACACACGCACACACACACACACACACATTTTCATTCAATTTGTATAGGGAGCCTGGAGATCTGTAACACAGGTCTAGTTACCTAGTATGGACTCCAGTCTCTCGTTTAAGGTAGTTAACTTCTAGCTTGACTTAAGTAATAACCAATCTGGAATTACACAACCTTCCTTTTGTGAGAGTTTGAATAAATATCTTACTATTACTATTATTTATTAAAATACGCGAGGTTTATGATGCACCCGTCCTTTCACTTAGAGAATTTTATTGGAGCGAAGACGGAACGAAGCAGACAATGACCAAGAAAAGGAATTAGAAAATAATTTCAAAAATTCAAAGTTTCAAAAGCAAATGGCCAGGAACCAGAGAAACGGGTTATAAAAGGTGGGATGACGATGAAGGAGATCGCATAGTTACGAGAGTAATATCCTTTGTTAATAATACCCTTTTCCTTAATTGGTTTACAGGGAACGAATGAGTAACTGTACCCAAGCAAAGTAATTAAGTCAAGCATCCTGTATAAAAGGACCGTTTTCAATGGATCCATCAAAGGGGTCATTATAATCGTCTCGCCGACCGTTAGAGGGCAAAAAACTGCGCGTGCGCCGCGCGCTTCCTCGTATTGATTGAATACATTCAAGGTTCTTTGTCGCGATGCCCATTATATCTCAAAGGGTTTTATATTTAATATACGTGTATTGGTTTTAGTATTTGTAAACCTTTTTGTGAAAGAGCTGGTCCAGGCAAGAACTGCCACCGTACCTATTCTTGCTGCCAAGCAGTAATGTAAGCATTACGGTTAGGTTTTGAAGGGTAATCACAGGCACATGGGACTTGTCAACTTACGTCGTAGTGCCCCTCAGATCTTTGCGATTTAAAGTTTTGGGTGGCATTGCAACTGTTATGAACAGGCGTGTCGCTTACCATCAGGTGCGCGACTTGTTTGTCCCGTCATTTGATGTCACAAAATAAAAAAGTAAATAAACATTTCAGATGTTTTTCTGTTTATTTTCCAATTGCCTATTCTATTTTCAAATGATTCGCTCTAGATTTTTTTAATGACATAAAAAAGAACGTTCTATATTCTTCTGTTTTATTTTTATTGGCGACCTCCGTGGTCGGGTGGCTTGCACACCGGCTTTCATGGTGTCCCCATTTCTGAGGTCCCAGGGTCGATCCCTGGCCGAGTCAATGTAGAAAAACTTTTCGATATTGTCTCAGGTATGGATGTTTGTACCGCCGTTGTTTCTGATTTCCTTAACACAAGTACTTTAGTTACTTACGTGATGTTTTCTAGTATTTATATATTTCAAATATAATGTTTCAAGTATTGCTGTCTAGCAGAATATACTCCTAAGAACGCTCTTAATGGAATTTTGTCTATTGTGTGTTTATAAAGGTATTAAATATAATATACAACTTTTGTATTTATACATATCTATAAGCACGGAAGAAAAAAAAAACAATGGAAGCGACCTAAGACTCGATTACTATGAGAACCGATGTCGCCAATACTCACACATTTTTAATTTGAAACACTACAAAATCTTGATATTGGTTGGTCGTAGTTTGAAATTTTAAAACAATCATCAAATTCTGGATTATTAATATATTTTAAACTTAACCCTGTTGGCATATCATTCAAAGTTCAATACCATCAACACCTATTATTGCAAGTTACGACGTTTTGATATTATGTTGCAATTTCAATCAATGTGCTGCCATCTAGCGGTTATTTGCTAAACGACGACGAATTGGAGTTATTAATTTAGTTCTCTAGGTATAAGCTTTACTTTAGTTACTTGTAACAAAAAAATATTTCTATAATATAAGATGGTATGAAATACTACCACGAGTAATATTTTTGGTGCGGCTCTTTTTTTGTACTTCAAAACAGCGCAATAAGGCATTTTTCTTGGAGTTCACACAAAACGCAAAAGGCGGACTGAACTCATATAGGTCTTTCGAGACCTATAGTTTTTTATTTAAACATTTATTGTAAGTATATTTATTCGGTATTAAATACAATGTAACGTTGTATTACCATGGTATAGATAAGTATGGTAATGGAGCAGCGCGGCTGGCATCTGTGCACACCTGCGGTGCGTCGTGTACGAACCAGAGTTGTTGCTGATGCAGGTTCTTTACTCATCAGTGGATGCTGATTTTTTGACCTTAACAATAGCGGATGTTGATGCGGATGTATTAACGCGATTTTTTGTATAAACCAAGCGACGGGACGAACAAGACGTGAGCCTGGTGGTAAGCGACACGCCTGTTCATAACAGTTGCAACTTTAAACCGCAAAGATCGGAGGGACACTACCACTGCGCCAGTCACCCTGAGACATAAGTAGACAAGTCCCATATGCCTGTAATTGCACATCCTTACTATCTACATGAAAAGGCTTAATTTTCTTTGGTATTGTAATAAAATATTATTTTAATGATTTTGTAGCAGTAGAGCTCTTAATAATGTGAGCATTACTGCGTTCAGGTTTTGAAGGGTAAGGGTGCTGGTTGGTTGGTACTGCTTGGCGACAGAAATAGGTGAGGTGGCAGTACTTTCCTGGTCGAACTTTTTCATAAGAAGCTCCACTGCAACTGACAATAACAATGTAACAACTCTACATTCCGAGCGAAGTGTGGGCATAGACGCGTACTACGCATACTATGGTATTATAGTCGGTAAACTAATGCACCATGGAACTAAACTAATATACAGAGCCATTGACTTACAAATAAATGGACGACGGGTCTAATACAAAAACCATGAAAAAAATGTCCCAAGTCAACCTATTTAAACGTAGTGACATGTAAAGGAATATGAAAAAGCTAAAACGTGGAATTTAAATTGTAATGTTATCGCAGTACTGTCTAATTTTGCTTTCTTCGCTTTCAGTCGAACAAACGAAGACTAAAGCGTGAATGACGCTCTGTATACGATTTTAACGCCCTATAAGTTCGGACACTTTTTAGCGCGGACCCGACGTCCATATAATTGTAAGTCAATATACAGAGCAGATACATTGTAATACAGTAAAGCTATTTGTGAAAGAGTTCGTCTAGGAAAATTTTAACACCTTAGCTGTACTTACCTGCCACCAAAGCAATAATTTGAGCATTATAACGTTCCGGTTTTAAAGGGTAAGGGTGCTGGTGAGCCGCACATGAGACTTGTTAACTTAGTAGCAACTAACTGGTAGTAACTAACTGCCACGTTATGTGTTTCTGCTGCCGAGCAGTAATGCCAGCATTACTGGGTTCTGGTTTTGAAGGGTAAGGGTGCTGGTGAAATTACAGGCACATGGAATTTTGGTATCGGACTCGCATGGGAGGTTCATTCTCGATTTTTTTTAATGATACCAGGCAACGGGACGAACAAGTCGTGCGCGTGGTCTTAAGGGATATGCTCGTCCATGACAGTTGCAGTGCCACTCAAATGTTTAAATAGCACAGATCTGAGGGGCAGTCACTGCGCCCGTCACATTGAGACATAAGTTAACAAATCACTGTAATTATTAATACAAAGATAAGAAGAACACTCAGAAAAAATTCCACCAACTTTTTCGAACCAACGTCTTCTGGCATACCGCCAGACGCTTTACCAACTAAGCCACGGAACGAACCAGCGGATCTCTCTTTTCTTAATGCGAATTTCTCTATGTTGCTTGCGTCGTATCTTTGTATTTTGGTTTTTCAATGACTTTTTAGCCGTAGGCGCCATCTATGATATTTCGTCACCCAGTTAGATACCTTTACAGCTACCAGCCCCGGCTAGAGATGTCGCCGTTCATTATATTTAAATTTGTATTGAATTGATATTCGATTATTTTTATGTGACATTACTCCACTAGTTTGTTACATAATTATTAATAGAAAGAATTTTTAAAATTAATAAAATCCGGCCGGATAGAAGGATTTTTTTTCTGAGTGTTCGATTTTTGTATTAATAATTATAACAAACTAGTGGAGTAATTTCACATGAAAATAATTGAATATCAATTCAATAAAATTTAAGTGCCTGTAATTTCACCAGTACCCTTCAAAACTGGAATGCAGTAATGCTTACATTACAGCTTGGCGGCAGAAACATGTAAGGTACTTCCTGGCTGAATTCTTTCTCAAGGGGTAGAGCCCTGCTACATAACTTGTGAGAAGAGTGGTACTATACAGGCTAACTTTAAAAAATAAGGGTAATTTCGAAAAAACTTCTTTACATTACATATCGTTCTCATCGTTTCGTACTGAGTGTTGCGAACGAGCTTTCCATAGTATTCAGTGTTGCCAGACTTTTGTGAACCCCCAGATGAGTTATTATCCAACCCCCTTCCCCACTAAATCACCAATAAAATTTGTAATTCCCCAAACATTTTAAGTAGCTTAAAATTGCCTTTTCCTATTTCAAACATAGCCTAAATATCGCCGAGTCCCCGATTACTATTTTATCACGCCTAATCTGGCAACAGTTATAGTAATCGTGTTTTTCGTATGACACTAAACCGTGAGTGCTTCCATACTTAGAGGGGGCTCCACGGTGTGGCGTAAACGGACATGTAGATACTTGTAAACGTTGAACATATTTGTAATTAAAATAAAACAATAACCAACGCTGAAACAATTGACATATTTTTGTTTCTTATACTATTAATTCGCAAATAATTATGCATCCAAAGAATGTGAACATTGAATAATCAGGCCTCAGCTGCTGCGCGTCTACTCCGTACTATAAAAATTCGCATTTTAAAAATTTATTATAGATGAGCGCGTTGCTCAGGCTTTCTTTATGTGTCGTTTATCACAGCAAGTGACATAATTAGAAACACAAGAATATAATTACGAATTCTTCCTGTATCTATAGGTCCGCGTCTATAATTCACCAGCCACCACACACAGAAAGCCGGGGCACAAAAGGTCTTTGTTGGGTCTATTTCACAGTGTTGAAATACTTTCAATGAATACAATTTAATACATGCATATATGTATACTTAGATACATACCTCGTAATATTTTGAGGTCCATCATAGAGTCTCACAAATTTTATTTCTATCAACACAATAAACAATAAGTACAAAATTCGAGACATATTACAGAAATTTTCACTTTAACAAAACATCACTTTTAATTAACACAAAATATTGTTCTTTTTTAAATTAAAACCATGCTAAAACAAAAGAACTTGTAAAAAGTATGTCACAGACTAGATTTATAATTAAATTGTAACACAATGTATGTTTATAGTAGCCGCGAAAAAATGTCGTTAAAGTAAAAAATGTAACGTCCGATCGCAATTGATCATTTGAAATTGGAATAAAGTAACGGACGCGTGCGAAGTGCGCGGGCGCTGCGAGACCGATGCGCCGGACAAAGGTCGCGCATCGCGGATTATGGAGACAGACGTTGACAACATTTATTTAAAATTTTATTGTTTTTATAAATCCTACAAGGTTTTTAATTTTTGTTGGGTAATTATTTCATGAATTGAAACAATTTCTTGAGTGGAGACCATGGCGTAGTAATAGTAGTGTAGAATGTCCTCTGCCGGAGCAGGAGTAACTATCTACAACAGATGGATGCGACAAGCCCAGGACCGGGCAAAATGGTGCACAATGAGAGAGGCTATGTCCAGCAGTAGATTGCAATTGGCTGATGATTAATGATTTGTTGTCCCAAGTGCTTTCATTTTTATTCACTAGTCTAGAGAAGGTAATTTAAATCGTTTTGAAACTTGTCAGATTTCTAAATTGTTGGAGAAACTGGATCTAGAACTTGTCTTGAAAATCGAAAGTTTAGTCGTCCAGAGTACAGTTAGTAACATGCGGACTAGTTAGATCAGATTATAATGTATAACTGATACACTGTGTCAAAACACAGTTAGTTGTTTGAAAAACAAAAGTTTAAAATTACTTTCATATAAACAATAATGATTACTCCAAATAGTCAATAGACTGCGTATTTTGAATTTAAAATTACATTTTAATTATTTGTAAAAACATTATTACTGTGATTAAGTTGCCGAGTTGTTTTTTTGGTATATTATAAAAACACAGAAATCCGGAGACGCTCTAAGTTATCTAATGTGGGGTATATAATTGCGCAAAGAAAATAGCAGTGGGCTGGGCAGAAGAGTGCTAAAGTGGAGACCGAGGACCGGTACCAGAATCGTAGTCAAAGTAACTAGAAAAACCTAGATGCAAATAGCCCAAGATCGAAGATAATGGCGTGCAAATGAGGCCTACACAGCAGTGGGTGACTAAAGGCTGAAGAAGAAGATATTAAATTAACAACTTCTAAATCACGCGTCGAACGACTACTGTAAAATATACAACGTCATCTTTGTTTTGTTTAAAGTATTGAAAAGAATAGAAAACATAAAAAAAGTTTTTGGATTAAAGATTTTAGTCACAATGCGAGGCGGAAAAAACATTCGCCGCAGGTATCTGCAAACTTTCATAATAATGTTTCTGTTTGTCAGATTGTCATCCAATGTATTGTTAGGTAAAAAAAAATCGGCCGCGGTACTTTAAAGTAACAAGTTCAATCTGCTTGGAAACAATGAAATGTTGTCCAGCCCTGCTAGGTTAATAGGTCGACCGACGACTCCGTTGTATGTAAACAATAACACGATACACAACGCGATCTCTTTAGCATTTCCTCGCATAGTAGTATGATACATTTTATTCACTTTACAATAGTATTTTTTTAAAGTATTTTTATTCAACTCGACATACCAAACTAAAGATGTTGTAAATTTTTAGAATAACATATGCAAGAGATTTTATGTAACATATTTTTGGTGAAACGGCGTGATAAATATAGAATACATTATTTTTTATTCATACTACTACGTAGCTAAATTTAAATAGCATGCTATCTATAGGGAAGTCTTTTTAGCCAGGTACGTCTTTAAATCTTTGGTGGAGTATTTGTAGTCCAAACAAATAAATGTCTACTTGTTAGTTATGAATAACTAGTAGAGTGGAGCTACTTTAGTATATGACAGTAGTTTATTTAAAATTAATGGTTTTTGCAACTCTTTGTTTATTGAAGGACTTTGATTATTATTGAACATGTGTGCTTCATTAGCAATACGATACATTAAAAAAATACAAATAAAAAAACTATTAATCCTATAATGTATGTACATAACTTCTACGCAAATAAATTCTAAATTTAGTTGATATAAGTGTCACAACTTTTATATTGCTTTCTTTTTTTATAAAATTTTGCTCTAGATGTATAATTGTAAGTCAATGTCTGGATGCCAATAATTTATGAAATTTTATATTTGTCATGTTATAATTTTAACATGTCGACTAACTAAAAAATGCATCGCCATCTTTGTTTTATTGCTAGAACTACAACCAGCTATACACATAACGAAATGCTTTGGAGAGTGACAACATACGATCGAAGAACTTCTTCAGTACTTGCATAGATGGCGTTAGTAGTATCATGTTCCAGTTTTAAGATATTGCGTTTTCATTCTATTTCTCATTCTTCTCAACAGCAGA